GTTCAGGCTGCAGAGAAGAGGAGGAGTTAAGCATAGAGCTACAGTGTTTGCTTCCAAGGTAAGCAACTCTTGGGAGCTCTGTTTGGGAGGATACACTTAGGTTACAAAGGGGAAAGGGACTGTGCAGAGACAAGGGCACAAACTGTGGGCTTTCTTCCCTTTACGGAAGGATAAGTCGCTGCTTGGGACAGCACGCAGCTGCTGTTTGTGTTTGTCAGTCACTTGCCTGCCTTCTGAATCACAGGCATATGTCTTTCCCCATGTTTTTTTGGTTTTTTTCCAAGCTTGAAAATTGCTCAGAAGTGACAGTGGGAAATCCCTACTATCTGCTATTTGTGGTGAGAATAATTTCCAGACTGTATTAGGAACAAACATAGTCCTACATTATTATATAACAACTGAAAGTAAAACAGGACGGAGGAGGGGGTGGAGCGATTGCTGCTGTCACTACTGCAAACTTTATCCTAACCACTTCTGTGCCAATGTGCTGCACAGCTTTACCGAGACCTGTGAGTATTTTACACTTTTGACATCCTCTTGCTTTTCTTTCTTTCTTGTACTAAGAAGATGAGGGAACTCATACTGCTTAGCTTCCAATTATTTAATGTTTTTTAAAATTGTCTCATAAGATTTGTTATAACTATAAAAGATGTAGTTTAACAATTGTATTTAACCTTGTATCTGGCATCCGTTTCTCTGGTTCTGCTGTGTGAGAATCTGTCATTGTTTTCTAACAAATTCACACAGCAAAAATTAGGAGAAAACAAAGATGCTGCTGTGAGCCTAGTTAACATAGCAAGGACAGAGATAAAAAGCTGGGAGAAAAGTTATTTACCATCTTAGTGTATACACTTGAAAGTGCATTAAATGCAGGAAGGGAACTGAAAATCTGCAATCAAGTGGAATCCTACTGCAAATAGTGATACAGAGATACTGTAGGTGATAGCAGGACAATAGGGAGGTATTAGCTGGTAATAAACCTCAGTAAGCAAATGCATTTATGAGTCTGCTGTTAAAAATACCACTTTCCACCTAATGAAACCAAAAGGTAGGAGGAAAAGGGACGTGTGGGGCAGAAACTTGTGAAGGATTGTATTGTTAAAACCTGCAAAATTACCTCTGTAAAAGCCAGTCATAGGAAATGCTCCTTGTTGTGCACAACCACTACCTTGTGATTCCTTCTGTATACAGCAGGTCTATTTGTGCTCCTTACTTTTAAAAGAGTTTGATATTGCAGAACAAAGTCCTGATTATAATATCACAATATGTTTTGCTATAATTTCCAAATAGCCACTAGCATAGCCCGTTCTGAATGTGTTTATTTCGATTTGCAGTTACCAATTTATTTGACATGTACTAGATAAATGGAAAGGTATCACTTGGTTATTTTATCTTGGAAGGAGATACTTAATTATAGATCAACTTAGTATAAACAAATGATCTTTACAGATTAAGAGAGGTATCAGATTCGTTCTTTGGGAGCCTACTGGGGTGTTCTAAACTCTAAGAACATGTAGCATGACTTTATAGCCTGTAACAATAATTTTAGCCCTGTGAACTCAAACGATAACGGTCAGCTTTGCCAGCTCTCTAGAGTGTAACGTTATACCCTGCTGTCTTTAAGAATGAATTCTCTGGGAAAAAGAATATTATGGTCAGATCCATTCTGAGGCTTCCTAGATCCTCACTGGAAATAGAGAGGGATCACAGGGAACAGAGGTACAGGCTGATGTGGAGTAATTGTGTAGTATGGATAACATAATGCTAGATTTTTTCTGAAGAGTGAAAAGTTCCTTCTCACCTCAGCTTGCAGTCTCTTCCAGGCCATGGCCAGTAATACATTTGACACAAACCTTCCAAAGTCAGGTGCAGGGTTCTGTCACCCAAATGTTTCCCTCTTCTGTGCCCAGGGAGTTCAGCTTGCTGCAGCCAGCACATCAGTGAGAAGGTCAATCTGGAACAGCCCCTCTGTGAGACACCTTGTTCTATGAAAATAACGTGTTTTGTGGTGGAAAGTAGATCACTGTCTGCAGGCCAACACAGTGTTATTGCTTGCAGGGCTCAGTAAAGCACAGCAACCCAACTTCAGTTGTTGGAACAAACTTGTTAGTCTGCACAGAAGTACGTATTTTATCCCTCTTATTTTTTACGTGACACGGTCTTGTTGCTATATCCTGTGTTTCATCACTGCACCATTAGTAGGAGCTGAAAGCCAGGAGAGTAAATACCCTTGTACTCATGTTTTTCATGAGGTCTTTCTGTGCACTTAAAAACTCATAAAGGAAGATAGTGACTTTAAAGGTTATTTTAACTACAGGACTGTAATGCACTGCCAATTCTTATTATTATAACACATTTCCAATTCTCTACACCAAATTATTGTGTGTTAGGCAAAGCAAGAACATCTCAAACATGTCCATTTGCTGTGCATGTATACTAAAATATTTCTAATTTTCAAAAGTATTTAAAAAGTAATTGCTCAGAAATGGAAGGGGGAAATCCCTACTATCAGTTATTTATTATCAGCCACTTATTACTCAGAGAAATGTGTATGAAGCAACACCTTAATTTTTTATAAGTAGTTCCCAAATTTAAAGACATTCTTCTCACCCAACCCAGATTTCTGATTCCCATTTTACAGGCTTTGATTGATAGGACAGGAGTTCACTCCAGGAATAAATGCTGACATATTAACAAACAAGCTGATATATCTGTCTCTGCAAAGACCAAAGTCTGGTAGAAAGCACTATTAATAGGTCCTCATGGGAATATATGCTCAAAACTCCTTTTCGAGCAGGAGTTCAAAGGGATAGGACTATGTTGGAGGTCCACAGTACCTAGACACACAGATTATTCTTTCACAGACAAAAGGACTTCTGATTCTGTGTCATTAATGTCAGATCAGTTTACCTTCTCACTGCTTCTGTGCCAAACACTGAACCTTAGCCGCTGGTGCCCACCCCAAAGGTTCCTGCCTACTGAGGGCTCCTCTGCTCTTGCTGGGCCAGTGCCATTCCCAAGGTGGATGCTATGATTCCATGCTCGGAATGAACCTGAAGGAAGGACTATAAGAGAAAGACATTTCATCCAAGCTGGCTGTACGGTATCAGTGTAAGCAGAGATCCCGCTTGGCCAGGGCTGAGTGCCACTTTTGAGATAATATTCTGCACATCTCTGTGAGAGGTCTAGTCTGGGATTTCCTCCACATCCCTTAGCCGATCTGGGGCCTGTTCTCCACCATCCATCAGGACTTATGGGCAGCTGGCGCTAGATTTTTATATCATGATGACAACGCAAAGAATTCAGGCACCTCAGCAGCTAATAAAAGCTTTCTGTCTTCCATTCATAAATTAATGTACTACTGTAAAAGTAAGGAGACTGATTCTTTTCTAGCTAAGAAATTGGGGCAGAGCGGCAGAAATATTTGGAAGCCAGCAGGGGATGTACTATATAATGAAACTGTTGTCCTTGCCGATAGGTTATTATCAGCAGGTAACAAGATATATGCATCGTTACAAACCATCTTACAGTATTTCATGGTGTAACAGATGAGGTATGTCTTTAGTGGCAGCATAGGGTGATCACTCAGACATTGTTGCCATTATAGCTGCTATAAATTACAACTTAACAGTTTAATAGTTTATCAATTAACTCTAGTGCCAATGCTTAAAAATTCTTTACCAAAAAAATGGCTGATTTTGTTGCCCACTGAGGAACTGTTTTTGAAAGCCTACTTTATAAAAATACCTGTAGACTAGAAGGGTTGACCCTGTGACAGTTAAAAAAATCTTATACCAAAGTTGCTAAACCAGCCCACCCATGACTAGAATTTATCAAATGTTTTAGAGTGCCTTTTTGTAAAATAAAAATACAAGTGAAGCAAATTTACTGGCTGTAATTTATTTTTGAGTGGAGGGATTGCCGTATTCTAAACTGCTAGCCAAAAATGGCTCCCACTGTACCTTTCCCTGGCTGCAGACTGCCAGAAGGCTGTGAATGTCAAGTGCTTAGTAATTTTCTTCCCTAGAGTTTAAGCTATAAGTAAGGACAGCGTGGAGAAGTTTATTGTCTCTGCTGGAGAAAGGACTTGAGCTCATTGGTGATGTCAGGGCACCATCTGCCACAGATCCTGTTTGTGCAGATACAAAATATGACAATGCAGTGTTGAGCTAATGACCTTGTGAACAACTCATGCAGTAGAAGACCCATTTTATGTAAAGGAATAACAACATTGACAAGGTTTCACTCCACATATCTTAAATATCATATTAATTGTTAATATGTTATTAACTATTGTTAACATAATACCAATTCTGTAACCAACATGATGGAAAATTAGACATGAACTCTGTGGCCTGTTTTGATGCTGCATTGGCTAATTAAGAATTATGGCACTTGTACCAGTGGTGCCTGCGTGTATCTCCAGCAAGTGACAGTGTCACTGTCTGTCTTCCTGCAAGGGGAAGTAGGAACCTTACCTGCCCTTCCAGGACTGAGGAGAGGTATTGCAGGAACATGGAAATCTAAGCACCTGACATCCGAAAGCTGCAGCTGGTTACGGCCACCAACCTGCTTGGAAGAGTAAAAGGTATCAACATAGCACACTTGTTCAAAGATAACTAATTATATCTGTTTGTATAAGCCATACTGGCTGTCTCCCAAGTCATGTAGCCTCAGTTGGAATGTCATATTAGGCTGCATCAAAGTATTTTAAAATAATAGACATCTGCATATCTGTTAAAACTGAGAGCGTGTAGTGTGCTTTCAAGAACACGGGAATGGGAGTCACGGTAACTCTTGCAGGCTCGTCTATTGTAGCCTGCGGCCAAAAAACAAGCAGCATGGTTTGTTTCCCTGCTAGTGTACTTTGGTAATGGTATGGTTGCTAGGTGGAGTTTTATGCTGCTTCTTGGCAGGGGAAATAGATCAAATAGTATTTCACATTCCTGAGATTAGATTAGTTCTGATACTAGAGTTAACATGACTAATTGTACTCAGGGCTGCCAAGTTCAGCGTGGATCACCACTGGGCAGCAGAGGGGCTGGGAAGGAGGGCGGCACCGGGAGCTCACTGGGATTGCACTAGTCCCTGTTCTCAGCCCGGGGATTCCAAGTATAAACCTGCTCTGCGATGACCAGCACTGGATGCTGGTGATGGCAAAAGTCATCAGATAGAGGTTTACATGCTGCCTTGCTACTTACAGCTTTCTTTCACTCATTTTATTTAATTTTACATCTTTTTTATTTAATTAAAAAAGGTCTACATCCTTAGTTACACCATATCTTACAGTAATTAGTTACATGGGCACAAGAAATGTGATTTTACACTGTCTAGAAAATATATATTTTATATATCTCTCTCTAAATCCCGGGAAAACCAGGAAAAGCAGATATTCTGTATTTCATGTATTCTTCTTTTGTATGGCCCCATGTCTGATTTGCTGCACATTCCTTGCGCCATGTTGTATATCCAGAATAATTAGTTTTATCTTTTTTTGCCCTCCCCCTATGGCACTTAGCAGTATAGTATCCAATTGCTTCTTGAACATGAATTAGCTCATTTTTCTCAAAAGTCCTGAAGGATAAGAAAATGGGAATTTTACTTTACAAATGGAAAAAGATTGGAAGAACCTAATGATTTTGGGTCCAGTATGTGATACCTGGAGATGGGTTGTTTTTTAAGAGATTCTCTGGGATTGTCTACGTTCACATATAGCCCCCAGTGTGTTCTGTTGCAGCTGTGAGAACTCAATGCTTTTTTGAACTACGCTCTGTAAAGGGCACTCATTTCTGCAAACTGTAGCATCTACACTGGAGAAACCTGCATCTGAGCTAGCTGACTATAACGACTAGAAATATACGCTTGGGGAGCATGAAGCATCTCATCCTAAGGGCAGATATACAAAGCAACTTAAAGTCAAGATTTCTTGCAGGAGGGAACTCAGAAAATGATTGTCGCTTGTGAAAAATCTGGGTTAAGGAACTTGCCCAAATCACAGGGAGATGGTGAGATGAAGGCAGGGACAGGACTCTCTTCCTCACGGCTGCATTCAGCTGCCTTTGTCATTGAACCCTTGCTTTTCTTTCTGTGATCTTCTGCCTCCTTTTCTACACATCTTGCTTTTTCAAATAAGGACATTTATACAGGTTTTTTCAGGAGCTTGATCCATTCAGTGAACAGAATCCATTTTGTTCATAAATCCTGTGGGAGAAAAAGGAAATCGTTACATCATACTGTGATTAAAGATCTAATACCTTTTTAAAATTATAAATTCATGGGAAGGCAGTGAGCACGGGATTGAGTTTCCAGTTCTCGAGAAGAATATGCTTTAGTGTTCATAAATCCTCCCACTTCTGCCACACTCAACCTTTCCTCCTTCTTTTCACCTCTGCCCTGTCTTAATTCTTTGCTGTGCTCTCCATTCAGTCATACTACTCAAATTCCACTGCTGTGCACCAGCAGCATCACTGATTTCTGTTCCTCAGCCTTCACCACATTGTTCCTGTAGGAAGCCTTTTTTTTAATATACAAAGAGTTCTGCTTGCTTCTGAAGCTCTGAGATGGAATATGTTCATTGTGAAGAGACTGCTGGAGACCAACTACACAGTGCTAGCAAATCTTTCCTGCAGTTATGTAAACTGAGCCACTCATGACTTGGCTGAGTTCATGCAGGTTTTCTAGGCTGCCAAACTTGAACATATTACTAAAAAGCACAGCTTTAATTAAATGGTTATAAACATTTTCTTTATATGAAAGAAATGCATATTTCTGCTAATTTGTTTTTGGAAATGGCTGAACTACTCTTGATGGGACTTAAAATCACTAGCTTGAGTAAGTAATTCAGTGTAGGAAATTTCAGCTCTAACAATTTCAGCTTGACCAAACTAAAAGCAATGGAAACTGAGTCTTACTGGTTGAGACCCAGCTGCAGAAGGCCCTAACAAAACTGTAGGCAATAGCCCTTTTATATATATATAGAAATAGGACTGTGTTCCCAGCCCATATCTTTGAAATTATAAGTGTTTAATTTAATTTTCTAAGAAAACAATGCTTATGCAATCACACACCTGTGCGTGTTTGCATATTTCTGCCTCCCTCCTCCACCACATTTTTTAATTCAGGGCCTAATTTCATTGAATAATTTACATTGGAAGAGGCATCTACAGGTCACCTTTTCCAGTCTCCCACCTAAAGCAGGGCTAGCTTCAATGTTACAGCAGGTTGCTCCAGGCTTCGTTGATTTTTTAATACCTCTGAGGATGGGGCTTCCACAACTTTGGTAGGCAGCCTCCTTCACAAACTTATTTTCTTGCAGATTGCACTGGGACTCCTTTTACAAAAAATATTAATACTGATGTCCAAATAAACTGTTCTGTCAACATGCCTTCGTCATTTTCTGCTGTATCTCTTCAAGGTCTTGCTATGAATATAAAACCAGTTGTTCGAACAAAAATTTGCTTGTTTCTCCAACCCCAACACTTGCAAGATTTGAAAGCGAATCTAGGAAAAAAGAGGTTTCTAAAAGAGAAGGGAAACATTCCAGTTAGGTTTTATTGTGTCATCTGTAAAAAGGTAATAAAAAGGGGAATGAGGTGGTTAGACACTTGCCATGATCCTTACTGTGAAAACACTGCTTAAATGGCGGTGGTACAGTGGATTGCTGCTGACTCAACCTTGGTTCCATAAGGTTTGCCTCATGTATTCTCTTCTAATTTATTTTATAAAATAGGGGAGAACAAAAGTAAAATCGCATAGCTGGACTGTACTGTGTCTATGTAAAAGCAACTATTAAAAGCAATTGTCATGCTGTGTTGTAGTAATTAGGGGAACTCTTCCAGCCCTTTATAAAAAACAGAATTATACTGCTGCTAATGACTTTAATACTAGCTACCTGGGCTACAACCACTCTTCTGATTGTTATTAGAAGTCACAAAAATTTATCCTTTGATGACAATATACATTTTCCAGGGGGAACCCTCCTTACATTGCAGCATTCAAAGATGGGTCTTTATTATCTATATAAAAATAAGCCTTTTAAAAAGTCTGTGTCTTGTGTTTTCCCTTAATTTAGAAGATTTAAAGGGGACTTGCAAAAGTTACTTGTGAAATTTCAGCAACTTCCTGCTTTGAATGCTCTTAATAGATGGGCTGAACTCTATTGCAACATTATATATACTTATTTTTTCCACGTCTAGGTTCCACAATGTACTTTCCTGATCCAGATTATGTGCTTCTGTTCTGAGTAATGTGCCAGCAGGCAGGATGCTGGGGACGGCGGGGTCAACACGAAACTCTGCTGGAGCATTGACCAGGCTGGGGAGTCAGGTAAGTGTCACTTAAACAACACGTTGTTTTAGAAAATTTCAGCAAAGCTTTAAATGTTATTTTACAGCCCAACAAGAAAACTAAGTAATACAGCAAATTTAAGGCTTGGAAACATTTCCAGTATTTTAGATGAGATCACTAGCACCCTATAATTTTCTGCTTTGGTTTTCCTGCTCCTTGTTGTTCACTTGTATCAGAATTACATAGTAAATAGGTCTGATTTTTGTCACATTTGTATTTTTCACAGTTTAATCCTGGCACAGCAAGTTCTAGCAGACTTCCCCTCTTGCTTGGACTTAATGCCTATACCTAGCTGGCCTTTCGCAACATGCAAGGCCATAACCCCTGACCCTCAGGGGTGTTTAATACGGGAGGAAAATCCTTGCAAGTGTCCAGCCTCTGTAGCGCTCTTCAGAGCTCCCCAACAGGCTTTCTGGATGATTCTGTATTAATTGCATTTCCAGTATGCAGCGTGGCCAGGTGACCTCGTTATAACCCAAAAGCCTTTAGCATACGGCACTCAGTACCCCCCAGGCTTGCACGCAGCTCCGCGCTGGCAGGCCAGTCCTTCCCTTCCTACAGGTAGGCTCCTTTCCTGAGCGGTGGGGCCTATTGCTGAGGGACCTGAGGTGGGATTCTTCCACTTTCAAGGACTTGATTGTCCCATGGCATCAAGCAGAGCAGAGAGATGCCTGCATGGTACCTTGCCATGGAGGAAAAACCAGAGTGCCCCAGCTGTGGGCCCTCACCTGTGCAAGGGCTGCAGCGGGGCTCCAAAGCAGGCACCGTGCATACAGCCCTGCCACCATGGTACCTCCACGATACCTCCACAGCCCTGTCCCGCCCGGCCTTCCCTGCCAATGTGCTGCACCGTGGATGGATAGGTCCCTGTGCAAAGCCAGTCTGCCTAAATATGCAGGTAGGGGGGAAAAGCCAAATAGGAATTCTCTGAATGGTCTTCATGCTAGTTATGGCAGTGAAGTTGTCGCTTAGGACAGGGTGGATTTTTTTTTACAATGAATTTTATTCAAAGCTTCTTTAGCTTCTTCAATTCTAAACATGTAATTGCTCATACTTGAAACTATAGCTCATCTTTTCCGTTGGCTTACCAGCTGCTTTTCTGTAGAAGTCATAGAAACAATCAGCTCAAAATGAGTTAATCATTGATTACTCAATAGCTTCATATGACTTCATGCAAACTGCCAGAGTGATTACATCAGAATCTTAGCTTTTATTAAAAGCAGGAAGAATATAGCCTTCCTGATTATGGAGAAAAATTTGGAACTCGGACCCCACCAATGTAACCTATGGAAGGCTATATGTTGCCCAGAGAGGTGGTGGATGCCCCATCCCTGGAAACATTCAAGGTCAGGTTGGAGGGGGCTCTGAGCAACCTGCTCTAGTTGAAGATGTCCCTGCCCATGGCAGGGGGGTTGGACCTTTAGAGGTCCCTCCCAACCCAAACTATTCTATGACTCTATGATAAAAAAACAGGTCCTGGCACTTCTCAGATGGTGCTGAAGATATGATACATAATAATGACAGAGCAGTTCATGAGCCACTGTCTTGAGCAGGTACAAGTTACTGCATGCTAGTTCTTCCACAATGATTGCCTGTAGCACATGTGAGTCAAGTTAAGGTTATTTACTCTTCTAAGCCTGTAAAAAAATCAAATGCATCACGAGCAAGTATGTTTCTATTTATGCTGAGCATTTCAAATACAAATACAGCCAGTGTTGTTTTGACTGTAGTATTTCCCCTACTGCTATTAAAGAGCCATTACTCATGTAGCAAGATGCAGACACAGGATTGTGTGACTTTCTCAGTAAACAAGCTTATTTTGCCCTTTGGTCATAGTAATGTTACCTCTGTTGTAACTTACCTATTTAATCTCCTTCATCCTTCATGATAACTTAAAAGAAGTCTCATGCCTTCTGGAAGCAATTCTGTTTGCTTCCAAAGCCAGTGAACATTTTAAAATACAACAGTACCACTACCCCTTTTAAAACTATGTGCAAGTTTATTCATCTGGCATTTATGCTGTTACTTTATCATCTCTTAAATTACTCATTTTATGCTATTTCTCATATTTATACACAGTGAATAACATAGCTATGAAGGTACAAACAAAAAGACAACATCCTTCCCAATAGGGCTTAGTATCTAAAAACAGGTGTAACATACAGCCATTAACATCCATGTTGTGCCTGTTAAAAGAAAAAAAAAGTGCAGATAATTTGAAAATAGTAAATCGTGGTAGAATAGTCTACTATGAGGAAAAAAGCTGAGTGGATTCCATCCACTGAGAATATATTATTGTGCACTCTGTAATAGTTTTGTAAAGATCTTTTTCCTTTAAATCTTTAGTGATGAATGAAGATTTGAACTGGATGATTCTTCTGTAGTTGAGCTATCTTCTTGCTCATTTTTAACAGAGATTATATATAAAATACTATCTTAGAAACTACTGCACAAAAGCTAACTAAGAATATTCTGACAATGTTAGAAATTTCAGAACAGTTACCAGAGATCAGCTCAAAGAGGTATCACTCACTGCAGAACAGACAGGTAGTTACAACATCACCAGAAATTTAGGAACCAAGGTTCCCAGTCTGTTTTCCAGAAATCAGATCAGCCTTCCATTACCAAAATGATGTTGAGTAACTGAATCTCTGTCTGTTAGCCACTTTGCTATGAGTTATCTCTATATGATAGAAGAAAAGATGCCATAAACAAAAAGGTAGAATTTTTTCTACCTTGTCATCCTGGTCCTTGGGAACTTGATGGGGAAGCAGTCAAAGAAGATATTAATCTACAGGCTCACAAATAATTACTTATCCTTAGTGTACCCAGGGGTGCTTCTGCATGCACTGAACCAGTGCTAGCCTGTGGGCTGTGTGATGCTCTTAAGTGGTGTTGTAGAAGGTCGTTGTTAAGGAGGTTGCTGAATAAGAGTTTATTCCTGACATTAATCTTTAATATAAACAGTTACATTAACATAAAAATGAGAACAAAGTAAATAAAGGGGGGCATGTACATTTCACCCAGTGTCATGCTCCACTGATTCTAACAACTACTAGTACAAGAAGAATTTTTCATTCTCTTAAAAGTTTCTACAATAGTTTACCATATGATTTGAAACTACAGGTTTAGATTAAATTACACGTTAGCTGATTCATTATTCCTAATATAAGGTTCTCCAGCTGAATTTGAAAGTTCGAAGGCTGTGATTAGAGGATTCCCTCCCTCACATACATCAGGGGACCTGAGGAAAATTTAATATTTTTAAATTTTTTATGTCTTTCAGAGAAAAGGGAGTGGTTTAGTCATTTCACTAAAATGTATTGTCAGGTATCTTTGCAGAGTTACACATGCGTTTACTTTATCTTCATATTTTCTTCTCATCCTAATTATACCAAAATATACTTTAAAAAAGATCACTGAAATGCCACCAGTACATATAATTCATTCACTCACTCATGAAAATGAAATCAATCAGCCCCCATCTTGGTTGTTAATATCTTTTCTTTTCTCTGAAAGGTATTAAAATGCATGTTCCTTACTCAGTTGAGTCAGTGAAGCTCTGTGCAAGTTTAAAGTAAGTGTCAGGCCTATTTATCTACTGAAGGAATAAAACTCACTGCACGCAACCCTTGACTTACGGTGTTCAGGATATGCAGTTCTGTGAAGGACAACACAATGCCGTTGAGAGTGCAGCCTTTTCAGTTTCCACTCTTCTCTCCTCTCTCCCTTTCCGTCATCAATACACTAAGTGCCTTTTTTTTTTAACACAATCAACTTTAGGTCTGTAATTGGAACATGATTTCAATGCTTTTATTAGCTAATTCATACTCATGTTTGAATGAAGTTTCATATGCAGTATTTTGTTACACCTTTGTAATCATCTGGCCAGTTGTAAACTAGATTTATTCTACTGTACTGTAAGCCTATCAAGGTTGCTGGGCAAAAGAAAGCCTCCAAAAAAGCTCCAGGCATATTCACTCCCCTTATTCCCCCTCAAAGTTATTTTTAAGACAAACACCAACTCTTCAGTATAAGAGTTAAAATTTATCAAAGTCCTAAAAAGGAAGAAACTAGAGGTAAGCATGGAAATTAGGGTGCAACTTCAATGGGCATTTCTATGAATTACTGCAATAACAAGTTTTTACTTATATTGTCTTGGGAAGTGAGATAGTTAGGCTGTAACAGGGTGGACATGCTCACTGTGTGAGAAACTTTCAAGAAAAGCGAAAGCAACCCAGGGTAGTGTTGCTCTAGTTCCTTTCTGAAAAAGTTGGCTGTTGGAGACATGCCTCCAAGTTACAGCTTTCCTTCAGTATTCAGGTAGGCTGCAGACTTGCCTTCTGCTGTCCTGGCTCCAACATCTCCAATCCTTCAGCCAACTCAACAGCCTAAGCCTGAACCAGACCTTTTTTGCAAAGCTGAATGAAGATGTGTTCTCTCGCCAAGCTTTCCAGGTGGTGGCGGGAACAAAGGGGAAAACCGTGGAACAGGCATTCCAAACCTGATGGAAAATACAACTTTCATCATTGTTGCCAAGGAGAAATGGATGTAATATTAATATATTCTGTTCCCTAGTTCCTGAGTGAGGATAACAAAGTCTCTTCCATAGAGAGGACCATTTTCCATTTCAGAACAATGGACGAATCTCTATACAAAGGTTAATATGCCTTTTCTTACGTGTTTTGCTCACTGTCCATGCCTGTAGAGTAAGATCAATTCAATTATCGTACCCTGAAGAGGGATCAGACAACAGAAAGAAGAGAGAAGCCTCTATGAAAAAAGGGAGAGGCATAGAAAATTGTCAGAAGACAGTACTGAGAAACACAGGAACATCCAGAAACAGCTGCTAGAGTAACTGCAGAAATGGTTGGTCCTGCGGGAGAATATTCCAATTAAAACCCCAGTCCAGAAAAGCCCTACAGCCTAAAATTAATGACATGCTGAGAGCGTGTCATGTGCGCTTCTCCCCCAGTCAG